AAATTTATTCAAAACATAGTAAAATAACCAAAATTAAAACTTATATATCTTATGCTACAGTAATTCAATTTGAAAAAACTCTCTGTTACATAAAAGTATACTGTTTAAACTACAATATTACAGAAAGTTTTTTAAAAAAATATTGATTAAATTTTTTTTTCTATTCATTTGAAATTACATAATAAAAAGTGGTGACTTTAGACTGTGTGCACCATACTCATTACGCATTGCCTCCAAACTGTCAGGTTGTAAAGTTCCATATGTGCGCAACCTGCCCAAAACCTCTTCCATGCAACGCTTGAAGATCTTATTGTCGTCCTGAATTTCGTATGTGGGAGGGGAGAAGAGCGGAATGGAATCTATACCATCAGAGTCGTAACCATATTCCACCAACACTTCACTTAAGCTGAGATAGGACGAGAACGAGCGTAATTTTTTCTCCTTACACTTCTTGGCAAAGTCGGCAAGCCTCGTCGCAGGTCCTCTTTCTAAACCATCTTGCATAAACTTCTCTTCGGTCATTTTGAGAAAGTCACGACCCATTATTTTTCGCTTTCGAATAATTTCCAAGTCATCATCGTCAAGACCCAAGTCTTCCTCCTTACGCAAGAAGTCGATAAGAGCCTCCGTTTTGTATTTTTTAATTTTGTCCGCCAACAAGACCGTCTCATTTCCAGCAACAGTAGTGGAGGTGGCATCATTTCACGTGACCCATTTCTCATATACTGGTAAAATAATACTTTATTTATGAAATAAATCGGTCCTAAAGGGACCAAGCCGGCCTACAATACATAAAAATTGCGACCATAGCGCCACATGATAATGAAATATAGATAAAAAAAATTCTAACTAGTCGTTAGGGAAAAATTCGGATATGGATACGGTCTATTGTATCAATTGTCCCATCGAATTATTCTCATCCCACAAATGTCATTAAAAAGTTTATAAATTTTCTAGTTCATATCACGCTTGATTTGCTTCAAAAATCAGCAGAACTTGCTAGTAAAACTTTATTTTTTATAATAAATTGAAAGAACACGATTACAATATATGATAAAAATAAAAAACTAAAAAAAACTAGGTTAATTTCAGTTCATGATTCGCAGTTTTTTTTGGACAATTTAACATCTGTATCATTACCATTTTCTAACAGTTTACGCTTAAGCAATAATAAAAAGTCTAACCATAATTTTAAATACTTTCATGCCAAAAATGTCAAAATTGTGAAATTAAAATTTGTTGAAAGTTTGTTCAAGTAAACGTTTAATTAATTTATTTTTTTGTTTTATCACATTATCGATTATCATCACATTTTGGGTCAAGAAATACAATTTTTTGTTATGCATAAACATGCATAATTGACTGGATCAACTTGGAGGGTCAAGTCCGATACTTTTGCAGTTCTTATATATATTTATGGAAAGCAAGTATGAACGTCTGAAGATATTTGTTAGGATATCTGGACATGTGTAGTTTGCGTTGACGGACAATAATTCAAAATCAACTTGGGAGGCAAACAACCTACCAAAGTGTTTATGAAAATTGTCTCTGCAAACAAGAAGAATATTATCAGGAATAGCAGAACCGAAGGACTACTTATTGTCAGTTGTTGGACATAATTGTTTCTAAAGGAGGTTCTGTTCAAATGTTGAAAGTTTGCAAGATGGTCTTTGTCATATTTCTTGTTTTTTATTGTTTTTATAAATCCTTAATTTTGTAGCTACCAGAGTAGGTTAATTCAGGATCAATCGCTCTTGTCATGAATATTACAGTAATAATCTTTTCCTTCTTAATCTCTTCAGAATCACACTTCTTTAAGGTAGCTAAATTTTTTCTATGCTCACCTACGACATCAGCCAATTTCCCCATATCCACTTACATTGTAAACATAAAAAATACCCATTACCACTTAAATCTGATCCAATCTGATTTTTATTTTAATAGATCTGATCTGATCCGAATCTGATCAGATCTGGTTCAGTTTGATCCGGATCTGGTTCGGATCCATTTGAATCCGATTTGAATCTGATCCGAATCTGGTTCGGATCTGGTCCTTGTCCTAAAAAAAAGAAAGGGAACGTTAATTACGTTCCTCAAGTAAAAAGAAAAAATAAAAATAAAAGAAACGAACTTACCATAGTTCGTTCTTTTAAATCCTGGTCGTTCCTTCGTCTCGCCCGACTTGCCATCCCGAAGTCAATCAGATACACATCGCCATTATCGTTAATTAAGATATTTTGTCATTGTGAAGGATGCCATGATTGTGGATCGCATTTAATCCCTTAATAGCCCTTAACTTTTGCCGTTTCTTTATTTTTTGTTCGCTCAACGTAGTGCTGACAATATAACGAAACTCATCCCTCCTCCGTAATATCCATAACAGACCAACTTCGTGATATACAATAGGTTATGGGACAAGATAATGATATCTCTGATTCCCCTTTTCTTAAAAATTGTAATGGTTGTGAATTCAATATAGGACGAAAGTTAAATACGGGGAAATGTTTAATATATATAGAAAAAGATATTGCGATAATGATAAAAGGAAGAAAGGCGTTAGAAAATGGTGATAGTGGGATGAAACCATATATGACAAAAGAAAATATAGGTAGAATGAATGATATTGTCGTAAACGAAAATGATGTGTCAAATAATGTACAAAATTGTATAAGATGGTTATATTTATTTTAGATGTATCTTAATTGAAATCTCACATCGCAAGTTACTACGCTTTATTTTTTTTTCCGGTCTGTGTTGCACACAAAAAGCCACGTTAGTCAAATTCGGTCATTCGTACGACTGAAAAATTACGTAACGTAATTCACTTTTTTTTAATAAATACCCTGAGAATTCGTCGGAATCAAAAAATCTAATGAGTAATGATAAATGCAAGAGTCTATCAGTCACGATGTATCCAGAAAAGTATATAAAGTATATATATACCTTAGACTTCTCTCAAACTTTCTCAAATTTTTCTAAACTACTACTCGCTTTTAACAGGAACAAAATGGTATTTTCACTCAATTGTTTGATTCTAGGACAAACTTCCAATAAATGTTTCACTGAAGATATAGGCCAAACATATTGCGTTGATAGTAAAGTTGAAGTCGAGTTTTCCAATTTTAAAGTTTTACACTTCAAAGAGAAGCTCTTTCGTGAGCAGATCATAAAAGATGTAATTCAAGATAAAAATAAAATGGACCTTTGGAAAGTTAACAGTCAGAAGGTTGATGAAGAAGAAAACAACCTTCAAAAATTTACTGAAAGTGACATCAAAGATAAACTCGGAGGCGAAGAGATGAACCCTCGATACCTGTTTAGTAAATATTTTAAAGTTGATCAAATGGATATTTTAGGCATTCATATTTTCGTAGTTCCCACTTCCACTGGTAAGTGTCTCCCAATTTTTTACCTCTCGAACAAGGAAATTGCAGTAACAAAATATCGATTTGACTGATGTCATTATTTTTTTGTCTACACGCACCACATTTGTGATTTCTTTCCTGTTACTTTATAATCGGCACAAGAAACTGTGAAAAAGTAACACGCGAAGTTGTTGTTTTCATTAAAGCAGAATATTCCTGTGTGATCAGATTTTTAATTGACTTTTAAACACTAGTCAAGGATGCCATTGATATTGCTTTAAAGTAGGTTAAGGAGGAAACTGGTACCGATAGACCTAACGATGAAATGCCTTTTATGGATCGTGACACTAATCAAGCAATTACAAAGATTATAAGAAATATTGAGAACCGTCTTAAAGGTTCTAAAGCCAAAACAGATTTTGACATGTTATTCAGTGGTGGAGCTCCTGGAATAGGTATGTTCTTAATATAATGTTCAAGCTGATTCTACATGTAGTTGTTCATTTATCACTAAATCTCGTGCATAGGTAAAACTCGGTATGGAGATGAACTATTCAAACGCCTGGAAAATAATCAGAATTGGGTCCCTCCTGAGTGGGAAAATAAACTGCATATTAGAAGAATCTATTTAGACCTCGGTAATGGTTGCAAACTTGATTCATATGATGATGACCTTACTCCAACAGTCATCATTGGCCTTCGGATTGCCTATGTGTTTTTCATTGAAAAAAAATTTATTTTGTCGTTTACAAATTTTCGTGATCGAGTCTGGAAATACAGAGACATTTTCAAAATACCCAATGTTTTCGATTGTATTTATGCTCATCTAATCTCCCAATCCAATATACAGCTCTTTGTTTTTTTTCATATTGACGAGTTTCAGAACATCGATCTGTGGGAGGATGATGCAATCAAGAACAGGAAAATGGCAAAAAAACAGCTCTTTAAGGAAATGATCAATGACCTTGCACCGTTCATGCTTGCTCCACAATCCCTTATCTATTTCCAGACATTTCTTTCTGGAACAGCACCACAAGTTGTTATCTCTAACAAAGAATCATTAAGGGTTTCATTTATATTTGCCGATTGCCCACAACTGTCATTCAGAGCAATGCTTAATATTGCAAATCATTATGCACAAAAATACGATGCAGAAAAATTCTACTGTGGTTCGTACAAATGGATGCTTTGTCTACCATTTCTCTAACTTTTGGAAGACACCGGAGGATTGCCTCGCGCACTTCAGTACGTCTTTGAAGTGTGCTTTGAAATCGAAACTGATAGAAAGAAATTCTTCGGCGATATTCATAAACAGCACTTTAATACCATCTTTTATAATGTCAAACACCGTCTCCAAGAACGCTACAACATATACGGAACCATCGAGAAGAATAAAAAACTTGCTTTAGAGCTTCTTTATCACAGTATCGATGCAATTCCTGTTAAACGCAAAATATGCCTGGATCCAAGCGATAAAGACTGTACGATCGAAAACCTTGAACGTGACGCACATATCATTCTCAGTCCCTGCGATGACACTTTCTCTGAATTTACCATCAAGATGCCTTTCTTTTTTGTCTGCTTATACAATGACAAATTAAAAATCGTGGAATTCAGTCTTGAAGAGACATTTCGGGTGCAAAACACTATGCATTGGCAAGATTGGGAACTTTTTGTGGCACAATACGAGGCATTCCGCACCAACTTGCTAATGGAACGTGGAAAACGTACGGTACATCTGGTGGAGTTATATCATGGTGTCTTTGGGACTGTATCGACCAAGAATATTGAGGTTAGGCTGAAGAAACTTTCTGTCTGCCAAGCACAAGAGCAATTTCCATGTTTAAAATTAACAGAAAAAGGTACCGCAAAGTCCATTCCCTGGGAGGAACGAGATGTGTATAAGAGACAGATTTCCATGTTTAAAATTAACAGAAAAAGGTACCGCAAAGTCCATTCCCTGGGAGGAAGGCGAAGTTGTGGTTGTCAATGGTGCGTCTGCTGAATGGGGAGATTCATTCAGAGTTTTGCAAACAGTTCAAGGTGATCGTCTCTTTAGTATTCACCAAGCCAAATATGACTATAACTCGGCCACATACACTTTAAACAATCTTCTCAAAGAACACATTAAGAATTATGTTACTTCTATTAATACTAAAAAAGAGCTTTTCGATAAACTTGCTAAGCACCGTCACATAACGATTGTTTTCACAACACAGCCATTTTATGAAACAGTTTCATGTGACGAATGCTTTATTATTTCGCGTAGTAATTTTGAACAATACTTTGGTCCTGTATTTTCTTCTCGTGCTACATTTGCCTTGACAAAAAACATCAACCCAACTTTTCAGAATCACAAGGGGTTGGTGATGTCACTGCTGAAGAGATTATTAGAAATCGACCATATAAAAGTGAGGATGACTTCTTTAAAAAGCATGGTCGGGCTAAACGAGGCGTGGAGAAGAATGAGCATGAGAATCCCGAAAAGAAAATCAAACTTGACTTCTACCCATTTAATGTGTAAAAAATAAGTTAATTCCGCGCTTAACATGGATATTTTTATCAATTATCAATGTACAATCTACAATAACAAATATAATATCAATAATAGCTGTATACCGATTCTATAATTATTATTTTATTTTAATAAAGCTTAATGCATTACTTTTTCTAATGGTTAATTATATTCCACAGTAAAAAATTTAAAAAATTAATTCGTGATTAGTTTAAGAGCCGGAGAAAGATTTTTATATTTCAGAATCTGGATCGACTTGAGTGATAGACATCTTGGTAATGAAACGATTTCTTCTGAGCAGAAAGAATATCAAAGAATATGCTTGGAATATGAAAAACCTTTAGAACAGACTCTTGTCGAAGTCAAAACTTTTCCTAAATATATTTCTCTTTCCCCGAAATCCAATAATAATTTTCTCCAATTTGTAGCAAATTAAAGCAGTGCAACCGTGAACGATCGAAAATCACGTGAAATTTTGCCGATCGTCACTCGTGACGGAAATTTTCCATTTTATTAATACATGCGAAAAATAAATACAAATGTTCGGGACTTTGCCCGCGATACATGAAGACTATGCTATTATTATACATGATTATTTTTTCGAACGATACCCCTCTATCCTAACCCTCTTTCTTTCCGGCTCATCCTCCACACACGCCCTATCCATTAACAAACCCACAATTATGCCCAAAACCTCTTTCACGCTATCACATAATGATTGGTATGACTTTGAGTTTGGTTCCAAGGCCTTCCTAGAAAATTCGATCAAGTATGCAGTATCACTTGCCTTGGATATTTTTCCAGGACTATATAGAAGGAAGTGCCAGTCCAGACCTGTTGTGACGATACCATAGAGGTAATCGAAATCCTCTTCACCCCGCTTTCTCTTCCTCTTGTTCGTCTCACATGCGCTCTGAAGCTGTTTGATATTTTGTGCGAAGCCTAGGGGGACCTTGTGCTGTTTATCCTCTGTAATACAGATAAGGTCTTCAGCTTCCTAACCACGATTTGCATAGATGTGTTAGTGTTAAGTTATCCCAATTATGACTGGAACTAGAGTGGAGCGGGAGTAACAAATTAAATTACCTTTATTGCATAATCGACCCGCCCCGACTTTCTTCACCAATTATTCCATACTGAGGTTTCATGCTAAGGTCCTTGTTTGTTATATCCATGACGATATGGATGCCAGCATGTAGGAGGGCCACAACGTACTCATTACGCATTGCCTCCAAGCTGTCAGGTTGTAAAGTTCCATATGTGCGCAACCTGCCCAAAACCTCTTCCATGCAACGCTTAAAGATCTTATTTTCATCCTGAATTTCGTAAGTGGGAAGGGAGAAGAGCGGTATGGAATCTATTCCATCAGAGTCGTACCCATATTCCGCCAACACTTCACTTAAGCTAAGGTACGAGGAGAACGCACGCTTCGGCTTTTCTTTGAGGGTCTGGACCTCTTTTGCAAGTCTTATGGCAGGGCCACCTTTTAAACCATAACTACGAAATTTTTCTTCGGTCATGTCAAGAAAGTCTTGGCCAGTAATCTTTTCGTTGCGAAGTATTCCCAAGTCATCGTCGTCGAGCTTGAGGTTTTGCTCTTTCAAAAAATCGATAAGGGCTTCCGTATCCCAGTTCTCAACCAGGTCGTTCATCATCAGGCGTCTCGTTAAAATAGGAAAAAATCCTATCTTCTATTCGCATAGGCTTCTCCTTAGGATAAATTTGACGGAGGAAGTCATTACGATCGATTGGCCCCAGCTTCTTTTTTACTTCTTCTTCAAGATCAGAGACTTTTTATCCTTGGAAATCTCAATCGCGAAAAGTATATTTTTATTTCCGGCATTGCGGTAGCGGAAGTTAAGACTGATAATATCATTATCTGTACTGGAAGACATCTTGTTTTCTAAATACAATGTCCTGTAATGAGAAATTTTCGTTCCCATACATACACAACTTCTGACATATACGCACCTTATAAATTTTGCGGAAAGTTGGCTGAACTTCTACATACTCCTACACGCTTTATATCTTACTGAGAAAAGGTTAAGGAGATATAAGGCGTGATTAGCTTGTCATATGATGCCAAGAACTCTATGAAAGCACATGTAAACAGAATCCTCATACCTCTTCACATGTAGATCTACCCTGCAATACATATAGTTGGCTTTACGCCTGGCGATCTCGGAATTGCAAGTCCACCAGCCTTTCATAACATATACTTTTGTTGGCACTATTTGCTTTTAGGGTAAGTCCTATACCGCAACTAGACATTTTTTCTTCCTCCGGTCACATTTGTTTGGGAAAAAATAAGAATAGGAAGTTAATATAACTTCTTTTCGCTTGATATGTGAGAAATTCCCCCTGTCGCACAATTTGGCCGAAGGCGCTGTGCATGGCTCAGCAATTCTTCCGAGCTGGTGATCACTTCTCCAGACTGATGATCACTGCTCCGGACTAATTGGATCGAACTGCTCGGACCGGATTCCTTCTAGGTCTCGCCTTCTATTCTGGTGGCGCATAATCTGAATCGGATGAATCTGTTAGTTCTTTGTCAGGCTCTAAACCAGTTTGCTCTTCTACATAATTTCCTATCCAGTCTACAGTTCTTTCTAGCTTTTCAAACCGAGAATAATATTCATCCAATTTGTTCTCTATTGTTTTGATTTCTCCATTAAGTACACTAAATACTATAGCATTTTGGTGATCGAGTCCTGCTAACTTCGATAGTTTTTCCATGCTTTTCACATACTCGCTAGCGTGCTATTGGATGAATGTTTTTTACTTTCGGCTGTTTTATTCAAAAATGCTGGGCGTGATCTTGAAAGGGTCCGCTCACTTATCATTTTAGTATTATTTTTTTTATAACTGAATATTTATTGTGCCAGAAAAAAAATCCCTCAAATAAAATAATAACACAACTGCTAGGCGGGGAACTCGTATATTTGTATCGTATCACTAATCTGGTTCACCGGCATGAACTAGACTCTATGATTTCGGTTGCAAAGAAGAGAGTCGCACGTTCCCTTCTCTAATAAAATCCCTAGACATCCCAAGGAATTTCATTTTTAGCTATCTGCTGTATATTATATTTTACCATTTCCTTTTCTTGCTCATAGAGCATTCCATTACGAAGCAAATAGCTTTCGATCTCCACCTGTTTTTTAGCTTCTTCGAGTTCCCTTTTGATATAAGTCCCCCATATTTCACAATGTAAATATCCTTGCATGAATTCATCATTAGGATATTTTCTCTCTACCTCTTCCATTTCTAACTCCTGTTCATTATCCAATTTTTGATATTCTAATACTTGTATCTTCCATCTTCGTCGAAGCTCATGCTGGATTTCTTTATACCAAGTGCTATTTATCCAGCAGAATTTATCTAGAACTTCTAATGGAAGCTTTTGAACAATTTCAGCAATTGTATCTGGTTCTTCGAGTGGGTTGTATGAAAGCATTGTTTATACTTTTCGGTATAATAATGTTAGAAAAAAAAAGTTCAATTTAAAAAATAATTCCCAAATAAAAAAAAATGTTTATCTCAACTTTTCTGATACTAGTCCTGATCATCGTCGGGCTATTCCTCTTCAAATATGAGTTTTATTTTTGGGTATAAGTTTTGGAAATCAGTTAATATATCCTTTCTAATCCGTAAACATTCCCTAATTACTATCTTTTCCAAACTAGGGGCCAGTTTTGGAAGTTTTGTAATTGTTTTCGGGCTTAAGCGTCTGGAGCTTCTTATTACAAGTGATTTTAAATTGGGACACTCGACTAGAAGCGTTTCTAGATTTTTATTTTTGAGTATATGTGAACCACTATTTTCAAAACTTAGCCGTTGCAAATTTGGGCATGCTTTACATACTTCGGAAATGTACACATCTGGCTTTATATTTATTTCTCCAATAAATTTTAGACCTAGCACTTGTTCACATGCAACTGGCTTCGTATCTTTGCTTAATGCCTTTGTGAACTTGATCCCGGAAATGCCTGTTAGGACTATTTTTTGCAATATTAGTCTTCTAGCGATATAATACCATCGTTTATTAACTAATAAAAGAGGATGTAATTTCTCGCCCTCATTCTTTTTATGATAATGGAAAATTCTATCTAGAATCTCATTTGGTAAAGGCAAGTAACGGATGGGTGATCTTTCAGATTTCGTAGATGTTGGAGGAACTATTTCTTCAAAGTCACTTTAAATTCATTACATTTTTTATTGATACGATGCCAGATTTTCGATTTTTAGCTTACTCCTCAATCTATATCTTTCAATCAGTTGATTAGTGGCTTTGCCCGAAATAATGAAACCATCTGTGTGGATTCGCTTTACACAATCTCCTAGTGGTCTAATTTTTTCCGATAGAATTTTTCGTCCCTTTGCTGAAATAAATGGGGCCATACATCGATGTGGTCCTGGCCTTTGCCCATCTGAATATAATCGCCCCCAGAGTGATACTAGCATATGCTTGGCGACTGTACCTACCTGTCCACCTTCATGCTTGATCTCTGTAAGATATCTTGCCCATTGATGGAAAATATCATGTCCGCTCATGAGTTTATTTTGCTCGAATATTAGAGCATTAGGACTTTCAGAAGATAATTCTATGTAAAGACCTAGATCTATTGCCATTTGTATATCATAGTGAGTGTAATATCCTGCGGGATTATAGCGAAATGTTCTTGTACATTTTTGATCCGCTGGATGACTTCCAATGGAAACACGATAAATTCCATATTTTAGATTATAATTGTTAGAATTAACGCTAAATGTGTGTAAATGTTTTAAATTCTCCTGGACCTATTGGCCAACATGCTCCCTCATAAGCTAAGATATGCGGGTAATATTCATTATAATCCAATTCAGTCGCAATGCCTTCATAAGGCTCAGCCCATACTAAACCTCCCATGTAAGCTGATTTTATCCAATGGTCTTCTTCTGGAGATAAGTCTTCTGCTTTTTTAGGAGCTCTAGAGACATCTTGAAAGAAACGCAAACTCGCCATAGCATACGTTCCAGTTTTTCGTAAGTCTATCTGACCTTCACTTCGCCATGAAATTGCATTAGCCTCTCCATTGTATCTAATATGCGTTTCCTGAGTGTTTCATTCGGATTGGCTTTAATTAAGAACCAGTCTCGTGATAAATTACGGAAATCATTTTCGGAGCCAGTCCATTGTGTACTTCCATCATAGAACTCAACATCCTTACCTTTCTTTCTCCAAAATAGAACCTTCGAATTGCAGAATACCATCTTGTATTGGTATTTTGGTATGCTGAAGCGGTCTCATAGTCGCTGTCCCCCTCCGACTCCGACTCCAGCTCAGCTTCTAGTTCTGGTGGCTCAGAATGTTCAGTTTTACTGGTGCTGGGTCTCCCCAGCTTGGTAAGAGATTTCCAAACAATCGTCCTAATGTGCCGGTGATACTACCAAGTAATCCGCTCATATTTTCTCAATGATTATATAGTGTTAGAAAAAAGTTTTAAAAAATTATTTTATTCGGATAATTAGAGTTAGACATTTATTCAAAAAAGAAACTATGGGAGGATTTTATCGTTGCCCCTATATCCTACGAAGTGGCACAGTTTGCAATAAAGGATGTTATCACCCAGATGGGTGCAAAGTTCACCGAATTCACCTAAACAAGTTCCATGTATACATCCTGGATGCGATAAAAAAACTTTCTCTGAATATGGTGCTTATAAAAAACATTCAGGAATCGTTCTAGAGCGTTTTATCAATGTCAAAAGCTTGCAAAAATTCAGGCTAGTGATGAGGAATATTCTGAGGAATATTCTGAGGAAGAGTTGGGTTTGGATTTGTTTGGGGGAGGAATAGTCAGGGGATAGTGATCCTATTTGCCTTATAATATTAGCATATATTTAAAAGAGTAGCATAGGGTCGAAAAAATATAGCATCCATATGAGCTTCGCCCTAAAGGGCTTGCTCATATTCCTGCTATATTTTTTCTCCTAGCAAGTGCAACCATATTATTGTATGCGAATTGGGAGGCAATTTCCATATCATTTGTTGCTTTCATAATTTGCTTACTGCTCCGCTTCGCTCCGCAACACTGTGAACATTATTTGTTCTCATGTTTTGCGTACATGCTCCGCAGTCCGCACCTTCGGTGCTCCGCAACTCTGTGAACATGTATGCTTTCTGGATTTGCCTCTTATTTTTGCATGCCCTCCCTTCGGTCGGGTCTTTATTTGATTGCCTCTTTTTATGCAAACAGGTTAGAAGAGTCGCCCACAAGCTCTCCAAATAGTTTGCCTCTTTTTGCAATCCTAATTGGTATTTCTGATTGTATACCCTTTTTTGCTGACACCACCTGCCCAGGTCAGCATTTTTATATACACCTTTATTTATAGCGTAGCTGCCGTAGCATGCTAAAGGGAGGTAAATTAGTATTTTATTTTTGTTAACCTTCTGGAATCATTTGAATGCAATGTGCCAAAAAATAATTTGTTTTCAAATTAGTAAGCAATTGGGAAACGAATCTAAAATAGCTATGATATCAAATAGGGTTTAAAAAAGAAATCGGGTCTGTTTACAATATGAAAGATTTTTGGGATATACAGGAAATCAATCTGGAAGCATTTGGACGCAATGCGCCAAAAAGCCTAATTTCCTACTACTTACGGGGCACCCATCATTTTTACTCCATTCCGAGAGAAACTCGGTAAGATTCGGTATAACTCATAATAAAATAAAAAACTACACCACTGTGCTTGAAATCTAACAATAACTTTACCGAGTTTTACCGAATGTACCGGGTTGTCAGTATGTGATTTTACATGTTCGACATATTGAGACGGTACTTTATTGAGAAGGTATAGGGGGATACTAATCATACTATAGGCAGTGCTAAGTTGTTTAAAAAACTTACTAATTAACCCTCAGCCAGTTTCTCCTTAATGTCTGTCCCTAATTCCTCCGTTAACGAACCTAGGGATTATGTCACATCACGTGATTCTTTGCATATTTTTACGTTAATTACAAAATAATTTACATGTACTCGACATCAGCGGAAATATGACACCAATTTACCATTGCGCACAAACACGAGATCAATATAGCAATATAGTATTATCTGTGGTCAAATTCAATGGGATAGATTAATTAATATTCGCCACTTTTGTGCAGTATTACTATTTTTTTTTTCAAGTTTACAGTATACGCTAATCAAGAAAATTTAATAAGACAATTCATCAGAAAATTCATAGAACCCTTTCAGGTATTTTTTTTGAAAAAATTACCAATTAAATTTATCGTAAATTATAAAGTATAATAAAACTTGATTGGATTCGAGAATATGTAAGACGAAAAAAATTGTTGCAGTATATTATGTGATTCACATAGGGGGTATATCATTCGATCAAATACATTACATCACTAATCTGGAATAGTCCTAAATTCTAAAACTATTCTACATTATGAGGAAAATTCGTTAACCACTCATGTGTAGAAAAATTGAAAACGAACCGACTAATGGCTTGTATTGGACACTTAAACACTTCCATTTTTATTTCTTCGAAATTCTACGAGAGAAATTTTCTTCAGTCTTCGGAAATTCTATCTTTTTACATGTCTTGACTTGATTCTTTAATACAGTATACATGGATAATCTATGCGTATTATAGTTAGGTAAAAAAATATTCTACTATGCTGTTACCCCTATAAAAAAAAATTCTGGAAAAAACTCATCATTTTTTCTAGAAACTCAGACACGTGATCATTTTTCTGAAAATTTTTTTATAGGTACGCATCCGTGAATTCCATTTTTTCTACGCATCAGTCGCATTCATGGTCAAACCGTCAAAGTAACACAAAAAATTTCAAAAAATTGCTGCTAATAATCCAAATTTAATAATATACCAGTATTCAAAAACGTGATTAGGATTACATCTTATTTTTTCGTAACGTGTTTTTTTAATCCTCCCAACTATAGTTGCGTAAGACATGAAAGATAATATATAGCATACCAAATGGTACTTTTTCATATTTCGATATTTTGACATTTTTTTCAGCATAATTTATAACTCTTGAGAGGTAAATCATGTTTAATGCCAATATTGATTTCGTCCAATAATAGTCATTACCAGAAAGGAGAGACATATTTAGCATTTGGACTATTGGAGTCCAAAGGCAAGTCGCTGTTATAGTTAATTTCCTTAAAAAAGGTTCTGATTTTTCGAAGGCACTAACGCCTTCATAAGTCCTCGAATATATAAAGCAAACCTCACATATATAATAAAGAAGCAAAACCGATCCTAAAATTCCGGTTACTGCATGTGAGTAGATGAAAACATTTGTAAAATTACTCTCAGGAATACTTTTGGTATAAAATATGAAACAAATATCAGAAATAATGTGACCTAAATCAATAAAAAGACCTAAAAGTCCAAGTACAAATCTTCGATCAATTATTACTGAGTCGCTATAGCTAATAATATAATAGTCTATGAGTACAAAGAAAACAAAACCAGTCATAGCTCCAAAAAGCATTGGAATCCAGATTGGTATTGCGAATTCCTTATGATTTTTATAAAACACTATACATGGTAGAACAAAAAGGGATAATAAAAAAAGAAAGTCATCAAAAGCTCGCCTAATTTTAACTGGGGATATTTCTTGTCTAATTTTAATAAATACGCTTATTTGTTTCTTTTCTAATTCTTCCGAATTTGAATCTTCTAGCTTTTCTTTCTTTTCTGACTTTCCTTTCGTATCAAATAAAAAAACTATAAGCGTAGGAACAAGCACATTAATTATTTGGTCGAAAACGTCTTTATTAGGATCATATTCTTCAGCAAAAGCTGAACCAAAAGATAACAAAAGAATAATTCCAAAGAGAAGACGTTTTAAATGAAACATTTTGTTGAATACTAGTTGTAACAGGTAGTAGTATTAAGTTATTTATATATGCTGTGCGTGATCATTAGATAGCCAGATCAGATGTAGATTTTATATGAAAAAGTCTTATTTACCAAAATGAAAAATTTTAGTACTTAATATTTAAAATAAAACTAATAAAACTAAAAATTACACAAATCTACATAAAATTATTTTACACATAATTTTTAAACTATAACCAATATAGATTTTTTCCTTTTTTGGTTACGGTACATTTCGCCGAAAGTCATTTCGCCGAAGGGATGTTTCGCCGAAGCCATTTCTCCGAAAATGATAGAAATGATAGTGATTATCACTTTTAATAAAAAATATTAAGCGCGCAATGAAAATAAAAATATTTATTTATTTACTTATTAAATTACATAATAAAAAAAATACATGAAAGACTATTGACTATCGTTAATAGTTAAAAACATTAGTAATGAATGTTACGTGAATTTATTAGAAATAATAATTAAAATAATATATAGATTTAGTTTATTTAATTTTTACGCAGTTTATTTTTGTATGTATTTAGTATATATCGTAGTTTATTTGGCATAGAACTGGAAGATTAGCTAATTGATGATCAAAAGTGGCTTAATAGGTCATAGGTGTAAATAATTGTATGATATTTAGTATAAAAACAATAAAATAAACAATAAATGTTTCGGGCTTCGGTGAAATGTCCATTCGGCGAAATAACCATTCGGCGAAATGGCTTCAGCGAAATGAAATTCAGTGAAATGAGTTTCGACGAAATGTCCTGATACCCTTTAATAAGAATAAACATCTAAGGAAAAAACAACCACGTAAACTTCTACGATAAAATAAATTAATAATTACTTTTTTCTCATCTGCAGATCCGTAATAATTTTTGAAATCCGAAATACGTTGCAAAATATCACATGTAATTGATCATTTGTAAAATGGAGAAAAATTATTTAATCTTTGTTCATAATAATTAAATTGGCTTTCTCCTTATAAAAAATTTTCATTTTATTTCTGTAAATGATATAGTCTTCGGAATCATCATATTCTGCTTTTTCTTATATATACTATATATACAAGGTCTGATTAAAAAAACACAGAACAAAAAATATTACAGAACACCCTATAAAAAATTTTTATCCGAATATTTCCGTTATTTCTCCGTGTCTTCCATAAAAATTCCGTGAAAATGATATATTCACGGATATCCGTGTTAGCGAGATGAAAATTTCCTTTTGTCAAACAGTCTTATGACTTTATATTTATTTGTATTTTGTAATTTTAAAATCGAACAATAAAATCGAACAATATTAAATTTAAATAAGAAAATTAAAATAAAATAAAAGAGTAGCTTCATGACTCATACAATTAAAGAAATCTAAACTAAAAGTAAAGAATCAGAAATTTTTACAGAATCGCATACCCCAACTTTACCCGAAGGTCAGTGTGAGTCAACTATCCAGCATGTCCCAAAATCCTAACCGTTACCAGAAAGAGACCCCAAGACGAAGAGGCTGAACTGTTAAGCGGCGCAGAAACCCCAAGTATGAGATCCATGAACCACCTTGGACTATAGAAGAGGAAACCCAGGAAACCCAGGAAACCGAGGAAACTGACGCCATTGAAGAGGATAAATGAGAAGAGGTCGCAGGAGATGTGGTAGTTCGTTGTTGAGAAATCGAAGATCGTTTTTGAGAGATGGTAAATGGTAATGCCTTTGGATTTTTCCCAGGCATTGAAAGGATGGAGCGAGATGAAAATTTCCATGATTTAAGGCTATAAATTCCATTAAAATGATACATTCACGGAAAAAACATGGAAAGATAAAACACGGATCAGATTTTTTATAGGGACAAAAAAAGAAAAATTCTCAAACTCTAACAATATTTTGCAATGAAATATATTTTCTTGTTTATCGTTCTTATTTGTACCATCCATGGTCTGACAGTTCATGTATCGCCTCTCCATGAGAGTAAGAGATTAATTATTTTTATTTATAATTTTTTATCTTCTATTTTCTCATCCCTATAAAAAATTTTATCCGTTATTTCACGGATCCATTCACGGAAAATGTAAATAATTCGATAAATTCCGGGATATAAGGCTATTAATTCCGGAAATATGAGCCTTTTACGGAAAAAAGACGGAATATAAAAAACGGATCGACTTTTTTTACAGGGCATGCATATAACATTTTCATTTGTAGTTAGATCTAGTCTTCTCATGAAACGTTGTACACCCGGTGATGACGAATGTGAACAGGATGAAGATTGCACGTTTGGTCTTTATTGTGATACCCTTGAAGGAACATGCTGTACTTAAGAAGGAGATTGCTAATAAAGTTTGGTCACTTTGAATTTTTGAGTTAAATTATTTATTAGTGAATGTATTAGTTACTTTACTTTTTTACTTTTTTTCACTGTAAAGAAATTATATCTATAATTTTTTTAATTAATAAATATTTCTATCATGCAAATATTGCATTCTTGACCTTATACGATTTACTTTCGTATACAGTGACGGTCAAAAGTAATGATGCATCGCCGAAATGAAAATGTAAAATAGTGATCATGATAAGGTAAATAGATAAACTGTACTGTATGGTCAGCTATACGAAAATATTTTAGCCAATCATAACTCATTGTATACTTTTCAAATTTTTTTTATTTATCGTACAATAAAATCTGATTGGTGAATTCTCACTTCGTACAGTACAGTTTAGCTAACCGTACAGTACAGTTTATATGTATACTCATCATGATATAGTAGTCACAACGCCTTATTAATAACGAGTTTATTATATTATATAAAATTTTTATATATTAATAAATAAAAGTAAAAAAATTCCTTTATTATTGATCAAACATGCGATGCTTCTTTTTTGACCATTTTCAAAAATTATATTATCTCTTCTTCACAAATACTATGTCATAATCATATGATACTAACTATTGTAAACTCTCGACCAGACTGAAAGCGAATATGGATCCTAAATTTGACACGACATATTGTCGGTTTCTAATTCTCTCGCTTTCGGAACTAATAGTACTTTACTATTAATGCCTATTTTTTTGATAGTATATTGCGAATTTGCGATCCTTTTATTATAATATTATCATAAATTTTGATACAACTATGGAAATATCATGCATAACAATATGGATATTTAACAAGGCTAGCTATAACATTAATGTTGTATTTCATTACAAAAGAATAATTGCCATGCATTAGTACATAATTATTAATTTTCCTTTTAAAATTAAATTAATTAATTAACTGTTTTAATATATATATTGGTTAATTTATATTTTGAAGTACATTATGCTAAGCTAAATATATTCGTGCATACCTGTACACAGTACACGTGTACACCTTCCGTATTAACCAATAAATCTTTATTAATAAAATTAAACTTTTTATAAACGCGTCATTTACTTTCGGTTAAAGCGTTGAAACGAGAATTATGTTAAGTAAAGATTGTATAGTGAAATTATCCTTTGAGAGAAATAAAATAAATGATGTTAAAGACATCACTTTGTGAACATAAATAAATAAAAAAAAAAGTATATCACGTAATTATAATTTATGTATACTTATTCATGAAACAAATCAAAGCAGCGTCTTCAGGTTCGAAGACTAATTAACTTTGGATGTGTTTAAGGAAATGCACTATGTTGTTAGCTTAATTTCTAACTGAATATTTTGTACTATCGTTATTTTCTGATTACATACATACTAGTTATTGTATTGTACATCATTGTATGATTTCTTTATCGATAATCTCTTCAGCAGTTATAGACATATATGTGACTATTCATAGTGTCCATTTTCTCTCTTATAAAAAATATTTTGATGAGCATTTATGCGATAAAAATATTAGTGCGGATGCACAAAATATGAGTACCTTTTGGTTATTGTAGAACAGATTCTCTTATCATGTATAAATATATCCTTCCCGTATCTTCATTATACGCGATTAGTCACATCGATTAGATATCTTTCGTTTTTGTTAATAGTAATCGCTAGAATAAAATAATATATAGTTTAATAGATAACTTATCATTACAAACAGAAGAATCGCATACTTAAAGAGTAATAGCACAAGTAATAACTTAGTTATTATATGGGTTTATCTTAATATATAGTGCAACACCTTTACACTGTAAATTTCATATCTACAAAATAAGCTAATGTATGAAATAACACGGGTAAGAAAATATTACTTGCTTTGAGAGAATACAATGCTATTTTTTAGCATGCTATTTGTTAAGAATAAATTGACAATCTCGTGAAAATTTGGAAATTGCAAAATCTTTCCCCACCCTAGAAACGTGGATTTGGGCGAAGCAAGTTCCGACTAAAGTATTAACTATATTTCGCAGTTTCTACGAAACTAAAATAAACGAAACGCACATAACGCTATTTTGGTCCGCTTTGGTTCCACAAAGTATTTCAGGGAGTACTTAAAAAACATTAAAATTAACAAGTAACTCGATAGTGTATTGGAATTAAATACTAATCACCTAATCGGAAATAGAAATTTTAACGATTAAATTTCCGATCACTGCGTTATTTATTTGTTGGAATCTCGTACAACTTCTTTGTGAGAACAAACTAAGCATATATGATAAATTAGAGGCCGTATTAGGTACACCGTGTACGAATCAAAAATTTTATATTCCAAAATTATAATAAATTATAGCAGTTTCCTTTGAACTTTTAGTATCCTATTATTTTTGTTTTGATTTCAAAATTTCAAAGATAACTATTGAGCCAGGTCATTGTAATATGAGTTTGTAATTCTGGCTGGAATTACGATAATAGATGACTGTGACATAACTATCACGTGATATGTCAAATTGAGCGCGAAAAAATGGATTTTTCCGGTAGTTTGAATTATGATACAATCCTTCAATCCTTCAATACAACAAGTAAAAGTTGTATTTATGGGTCATTAATAGCAACAACGTCTGGCACGGAAGATGCATGCACGATCAATTAAATAATTTTTTAGCAAGACCAAAAGATTAAATCAGTTTCCCTTGCATTAAATCAGGACAATGATTATAATTAACATAAAATATTTGTTGTAGCAATTTCTAATGGCTAAAAGTGAATTTTGGGCGAATATAAACAACAATATTAAATGTTCAATGTTCATCATTATCATCAGTATATGTTGATATTAGCGTATCACTTCTTAATTGTTCAATCTCTTTTCATAAATAATTAATAATTCTATTATTAAGCTCTTTTTTTCTTAAAATTAAATCTTGAATTATAAATGGCGGATAAATGATGGCAAATATAAAACCTGCTACCAGGATGGCTTTAACATCTTTTTTTTTTTAATATCTTAATAATAGGATTTGTTTTTTTTCCCAAAGTCTTGGCTTTATAGTAATAAACTGAAGAGCAAAACAAAAATATTAATTAATGTTAATGTCTGGATTATCATCCTAATTTCTGATATAGTAAACCTATGATTGCAGTAAAGCGTTATCTTGCCCTTTTACTAGAACTTAATAAATTAATTTGACCATAATAGTTGCCATGAGATTTTAAACCAGATTTTCGAGAACTTCTTGATAATAGCGTTCTTAGTATAAATAAATACCTGATATTCGGTAACATATATGAATATTTCCGAATACTCGGAAAAGCTTTCTTAAATCCGACCAAAAAATTGTCAGCTAAATTCAATGGTTATTGATTACGAACTTGGAAACAATCGGTATAATACCAATAAATTATTAGAATCTTACTAGTATTGATTTTCACAGCGAATAAAATACAACTGTATTAGTGGCCTAAAAATATAATTCTTTGGTTTAATTATTACTAGCTAGGTACCATGTACATAACAATATTTCGGAATTGGACGATTGTCACTAAAATTTGCCTATTACGGTAACTTTGTTCATAACTCTGGTCAAGAATTTTGGCCAAAATTACGTAATATACTTCAAAACATTTTGCTGTAAAAATTGTAGTAAAAAGCCAAATAGCCGTCTACTTATGGAATTAGGTTCAAGCCATGCCAAAATATTATGGCACATTACACCAATTTGACATTACACCAGTGTAATACTGGTGTAATACTATTTTCATATGAATCTTCGAACAAACATTTGGTGTAATATATTTCATCATTACACCGCCTTTAATGCCGAATGATCTGAAATAATTACGTATACATGTATACGTTTACGGCGAGAATAATGACCTTCATAATATATAATTTGAGTACCGTACATCACTATACAGTATACAGTGCCCCTGCAATAATAGAGTGATACGAAAATTTGTGGAGTCTTGTACAGTGCTGCATTAGTAGTAATACACTGTACTAATATAAACTTGTAAAATATGTAAAAATAATTAAATTTAGTATTAAAAATTTTTAATAAAAAAAAAAAATATTAATTATTTTACACCATGTTTCACATTTAAAAAGTTAGTATTAAACATAGTTGACATTTTTTTATTTTGATATTTGTTATACACGCGAAGAAAAATTCAGCTCAAAAATTCAAAAAATAAATTTAAAGAATAAAAACGCGTTTTTAAAATTATAGTATACAATAATATATATAATTTTTTAAATTTTTATTATAATATTGATATTTGGGCAAAATTATTCCCTGTAAAGTACCCTTTTTCTCGCATAGTACCCAGCGCTATATGGTAAATGTAATTTGACAGTGCGCTATTTTAGCGTATATATTTGCTCCGGCGTAGCACTGCTTAGGGTTTTACAATCTATTATGTACAGTATATTAAGTGGTTGTAATTTATTTTATTTTATTTATTTATTTGTTTGTTTATTTATTTATTTATTGATTATTATAACCATGACTTGCGATAGTGCCTGGCGATTGCATGTAATCATTTTATTGTATGTAAGTTCTACGTAGTTTATAATGAATCTGCGTACGTAAATAAAGATCTGCAACGCCATAATGGCAATTGCTTGTTAACAATATTTGATTATATTGTATATAAAACTATTAATGACTTAATGAGGAACTTTATTTTCGACAACTAATTATTTAATTATTAATTTTGCTAACAATTCAGAGAATTAAAATTAGTGCTAAAGCGTTTTGGTATCAAAATATAGGAAATAATAATATCATCATCATATAAATATATGAGTTGGTTTATGTCAGAGGCGTGCTTATATAAATGCAGCCATGGGCGCAATAATTTGTTTAGTAAACTTAAACCACTATTTCTTTTATCAAATGAGTCTTTTGGATAAGTCATCAAAAAGCTGAAAATAAATTATTTTGTTTAATTGCATTCATAAAAAAGCACTAAACCATATTACAATATATCAGATGCAATCTATTAAAAATTAGTAAAAAAGAGATAATACTATACCTTTTTCAAATATCATTTGAATACTTGGTGGAATCAATCAATTTGGAAGATTCGAAGATAGAATAAAGTTTCTCAATACTAATGTAGAATGTTGATCCTTGTTTCAAAATTCTGTTAGAAATTATTTAAACTATACACGGTAAAAACGATCCCCAAAGATATTTACATGAGACGTTATCTAGGTTTCACTCACATATCTGGTTTTATTCATACAAAATGATTATATGTTATCTGATACATGATTTACAAAATCTATACTACAGACTTATTATAAATTCCTTAAAAATGGAATACATCAAACCTTTTTTAATGAGAACAACAGAAATTATATGTATATTGAATGGCCGAGACCATATTATTTACAATTTTTGAAACAAAATTCTCTTATTTGACATAAAGGTAACGTTACTAATTAGACTTTTCTTGAAAACAAATTGGATTTAGCTGTTTTAAGAAGAATTGTTAGAGAGAATTGGCGTAAAGAATTTAATAATATTGCATTAGTATTTCAAGTTGTACGAGAATAATTTTTTTTTCAGAAAGAAACTTTGATGAAGGCACTTTTATATTTAATGTAAAAGTGATCGACAATTTCAAATAGTACTCATTCAAAATCTAAAATTGGACAAAAGTTTATATAAATAGATTTCTTAGTAAAGAAATTATGCGGTAGTATTACAAATAATTAAGTCAACTAATTAGTAAATTTAAATAGTGGTTATTTCGATAAGAGACAAAAAAGATCACTTTTTTGGATTGTTGATTAAATAACGATCTTATTTACCAAATATTTATTACAAATTTGGTATTATTAAAAAAACAATTGAGTCAGATGAGTATTACGAAAAGATATAAAACGTTGAAAAATTATCAAAGAATTGTGATAAGGTAATTAAATTTATAATATAAATAAATTCTTCAACCGAATATACAGTATAACTGCATCACATATTTTGTTAAATATTATTGTTTATTAATTAATTATTCTTGTTATTGTACTTCTTTATATGAATATATATGGTACTTACTTTGATAAAAAAAAATGATGTACAAAAACGAAATAATTGTTCGCTTCCTTCCTGTTTGGCAATTTTCCGTATAAAAATTTTTCTTTTAATTCCTAATTAAGAGAAGTGCCGTTTAACTATAAAAAAATATAAAAATATGGCATATGATATCCTTATTTGAACGATCCGCGAGATATGAAATTATTGGCTGCTCTATGAATGTTGATCAAACCTATAATCATCCATCTATTTTCGAAATTTTTAAAGTTTATTAATGTTTCAATAATAAAATCAAATATATTTACATGATTATATTCTGTATCGTCAAAGTCAAGTTTCAAAAACTAGTTTGCAAAAAAAAAAAAAAAAAAAAATAATAATAATTTATTTTATATTTTTTATATTCAAAAAAAAAAAATCAGCGATGGATATCGTAGATGATCTCATTTTTTTTTTCTTTTTTGATTTTTCTATTTAATTAATAATAAATGAAAATAAAATTGGGAATTTTAACTTAAATTCAAATAGCCTAAACTTTACTACTATATATTACATATTTCAATTTCGGCTGAATAAATATTATTCCAAATTAAATTCGAGAAGCTTCTTGGCGTATTAGAATATCTCTTAAAAGTTTCAGATTTAAGTATTGATTAAAGAATAAGGAATAAATAAAAAAGTTCCTAAGCCAGCTTTAGTTAACAAGAGACCAGTCCAGTACCGTTTGAAATCACGTGCATATTACAAAGATAATAATATTTTATGTTGCGCATGAACCAAATTAGATATAAGGAGCCTTTTTAAGTGCTACAGTATATTTATAGTATTTATAAAGTGTCTAGAACAGTTTCAAATATATTTATATCCGAAGTTTTTACTTATTTGGGAAAGTGGATTTAGTCGGAGTTTGCCTTGACAAATAAATCAATTGTGTACAATATTAAAAAATAAGTATATAAAGATTATAATTTTTTTCTTCTTTACTTTTTTTTTTTTTCTTTTTACTAATTTTATTTTTCTTCTTTAGATCTTTTAGTTCTTCAGCTACTTAAACTTTAAAGACATCTAGTAAATTTCCATATTTTAGATNTTTTTTAACTTTCTTCAAAAAAGTTGATTTTCACAAGAAAAATCATTCATATTATCACAATATTATTATCCTTTTTTAAAAAAAACATAAAAAGAAAGAAAAAAAATATATCTTTATTTTGAGACTTCAACTCACACAATGACTTTAAATTCGCATTCTATATTTCCATCCCAACATTATATGCGTTCACGACCTGAGATATTCATTTCGTCACCTCGTATATTGAATTTAAATCCTGATGATTTTATGCCAAAGAAATCTCGAGGATGCAAAACTTCAAACGCCTTTTTGATATATCGCACGATTTATAGTAGAATGCTCACACAAAAAGGGTTTCCTTCAAAAATGACTGAAGTATCACGTTGGGCCTCGGACTCTTGGAATGATGAAAGTGAAGAGTTAAAGAATGAATTTCGAGAATTCGCAAAGAAAGTGAGCCAAATTTACCAAAAGAATGCGGAATTATTAGCTCCACGTATTCTTCCTACAATTTTGCCAATTCAACCGATTCAAAATGTTGCATTAAATAATAAAATTCCGGATATGTCATTACAGCAATGGCAAAATCATATGACATTTATTCAACGACAACAAATGGAACAGTTTCAGTTATTACCAAATTTTCTACCTCTCTACTTCGAACCTCATTATCCGTTAAATCCTCAATTCAAACCATGTGAAGACATTAGAACGGAAGTTTCTTATGCCTCAATACCTCCTTATGATCCATCACATTTGCAAATTTATGAAGATAATGAAGATAATGAAGATAAGAATAATACGAATATGGATAATAATGATTTATGGGAATATTAATTTAAGAAGTAGATAGTATATATTATTATAAGTTACTTGTATATATTACTTTTTAAGTTTTTCAAAAATCTAATATAACTTTCTAAATTTCTTCCTTGTTCTTGATACAATGTAAATTAATAACATGTTTATTCGTTATGTATTGACAAAAAAATAAATAAATAAATAAATAAATATTCTTCGTTAGCATATAATTATGGGACAATGTTCCGTCGTATTGATATATATATATTGTATGTTTAATATTATGATTAAAGGTTAAAAGTTATATCGATAGGATTTTGTTATACGAAATATAAAGTGAACTTTTCCAACAATAACTTGTGTTTAGCGTTGCATATAATCCACTAAAAAAATTTAATAAAAGTGCTTAATAATAATAAATGACTAAAGGAAACCAAAAAAGGTGTATAAGTATAATAATATAAACGAAAAAAGATTCTTTGCCAAGTAAAAATGAAGTATTTCTAACATTTTATCGTTTATATATTATTAAATCATTGAAATGTTGTGTATAAAAAAAAAAGGTAAATAAACCAACCTCCTTTGCCAAATTACCATTTTTAGATGAATATTGAAATCGTTTCTTTTCTAATTTAAGTTATATATTATTATAAATAAATTTTTAAGTTCCCACATCATATACATATAGTTACAGTACATAATTAAATGCACGAATCCATCCTATCTATTAAAGTTTCGTTCCCTCTTATCGACATAATTATTACGAATTTTTTTTAAAAAAAAACACTTTTACACTTGGAAATGATCAACTCCGGGATATAATACGATCCGTAATGAAAATCCGTGGAACGGTTAAACAATGTGATAATAATAATAATAAACCAACATATGTATCAGGTTACGTTTATGCATGTATTAATTGTATTTCAAATTCATTTTATCAAATGAAATTTATGAATGCATTTCAAAATAGTTTACAAAATTTGTTTGTTTTGGATACATTATAGAGCAATTATTGGTATAAATTTAGTAGACAGATTAATATTATATTCTCATTTTGTTTCACTTTTAATTGGATATAGTAAATTTTTTGTTTAATAAATAATAGTCTTTCCTTTTATATATCGACATTATGAATTTATAGTAAAGTTTTGTTTATTTGTATGAATATCCTGTTAAGTTAAATATTATTCTTAATATAGTAAATCAGTAGTAGCTCAAGCCCAAAAATAATTATATTTGGAGAAATAATAAAAAAAAATTCACAAAGGATTTTTTTTTTTTAAAAAAAAATGGATTTACTAAAAACATTTATAATTAAATCCGAATATTAAACGGGATTTCTTATTAAGCTGTAATTAATTAGTTAAATAATAATACAAGTCACCCAAATTATGATCGACATCATCTAACTATAATAAATATTTCATTCATATGGAAAAGTGACACGTACAAATAAACGAAGAAATGAAAAAACGAATAATTACAATTTATTTTAATTAATAATATTATAATTTTTTTTTTGTATCCAAATAAACTTTTATTTTCCTGATATTAACGCAAAATTATTTTCAATTTACCATATTTGCTGTATATTACTTGTACATATGCATGCTATGTCTCTTAGCATGCAAATCATTTAGAAGTTAGTTAGTAAATAAATAATTAATATCTCAAGAAAATATAATCTATTAGTATTAGAAATATGCGTGCAAATTAATTTTATTATTGTAACGTTGTGGATTCATGAGAACGAATTTGTATAAAAACTTTTAAATTAATAATAATGATAACGTCTATCATAGATATTGAATCAAATTGTTAGAATTCCATTAAGAAGTTGACGGATTTTGCCCGCCGAGGCTTTACTTTACTGTCAAGGCCAATTTTTTTGGCATGATTTTACAATCCATGTAATCATAATGTTGACATATACATGCATGTTATCATGTATGTTAACATGAATATTGACAGGTTTTTGAATTATAATAATAATGTTACAAAATAATATTGATTGTCAAGTATTATGTAATAATTATTTTTTTCTCTTAATAAATAATTATTTTGATATATATGTTGATATAATTTGTTTAGTATAATATTTGTGCAATGCATTAGATTTAAATATGATAAAATTCATTATACATTGCCAAATATAAATATAATATTTAATCTATGCATTTTAATCAAAACTTTTGACCTTTAACGTTAGGCCATTTTTGCCGATCGGTCCTGTGAATCAAAACGAAGCAGCTGATCGGACTAGTCAATTATAGTTTGTGGAAAATGATAATCTTTTTAAGCTTTAAAAAAAAACTTTTTTTCGGTGTTTCAAAAGTTTCGTTTTGAAACTTTTTTTTTTCTTTTTTTTTAGGTATCGGTTTCAACTTTTGCTTTGTATCGGTAAGCTTTGAAAGTTTCAAACTTTATTTATTTTGGTTTTTTTAAAATTAAAAAATTGTATTTTGTTTTTTTTAGTATCACCAGTGCTTTGAATTGGTAAGTTTCAAAAGTTTCGTTCGTTTCAAATTGTATTTTTTGGGTTTTAAAATAAAATTTTTTTATTTTTTTCTTTTTTTTTAGGATTTGTCATTATGCTTTTTATTGGTAAGTTTCGTAAGTTTCACTTCGAAACTTTTTTTTTTTGTTTTTTTATTAAATAAAAAATTTCTAATTTTTTTATTTTTTTAGATATTAATCAGCTTCAAACTTTTCGCTTTGGATCAGTAAGTTTTGGAAGTTTCATTGCAAACCATTTTTTAAATTCTTTTTTAATTTTATTTTGAAGAAACTAATCATTTCTTCTTTTATCTATTTTGTAAGTTATCACCTTCGGTTTTTAGGTGTAAGTTTTGAAGCGAAACTTTTTTTAAATATATATTTTTTTTTTAATTTTGAAGAAACTAATTGTTTCTTTGTCTATTTTGAAAAATTTTAAATACTTTTTTTTAATTTTGAAGAAACTAATCGTTTCTTCTTTTATCTATTCTGTAGATTTTGCCTTCAGCTTTGGCTTGGTTTCTTGGGAAGTTTTGAAGTGTTTTGTTTCAAACCTTTTTTTAGTAAATTTTTTTTTTAAAATTGTTTAATTTTTATTTTATTTTTTAGATATTGGTTATTTCTTCTGTACTTTGGATGGTAAGGTTTTGAAGCAAATGCTTCAAAATTTTTTGGATTTTTTTTTAAAAATAAAAAAATTATTCTAATTTTTTTTCTTTTTTTAGATATCGGTGAGCTTTCTAGTCAAAATTTCTAATAGATATTAGCTTTGCAAGTTCTGAGTCACTTTCTTGCAAATGCAACCACAACTGAAATATTCATACCTTATTCCATTTCGAATTATTTTGTTCGGTACCCTCATGTGACATTGTGACGTGCGACTGATTTTCAATTGGTAATTTTAAAAGTTGCGTTCAATTTTTTTTTGTTTTTTAAACTAAAAATTTTTTTTTCTTTTTTTGTAGGTATGACTTCTCAAAATTATGATCAGTAAGTTTCAAAATAGGTTGTTAACTTTGCTTTGAAAAACTAACCATTTCTTCTTTTGTCTATTTTGTAGGCCTCATCTTCGATTTTTGGTCTGCTCTTTAAATAGATAAGTTTCAAATTGAAGATTATGGATGTATCATCTTCACCCGTTGATTAGCAACCTAGAGTGCATTTCATTACACAGATGTACAGGAGAAGGATTACATAATAAAATAATATAAAATACATTTAACGAATTTTATTATTTAATTATGTAATTATTGTGGTGGAATTATTTTATTAATATAATATCTATTATAATCATACTAATAATAATATACGTTATAAATATGCAGGTTGACGCTCATGAATTTTATAACATACTTATGATAGGGTTTTTATATGGTTATCAAAAAAGTCTACATTGATAGTAAAGTAATTATCATGGCACTTTTTTTGCGTCCCTCAAAGTTGATTCTCATCATCTTTGCCTTTAATCCAATAAATATTAGCAGAATATACAGTACGTACTGTTGTAAATTTATATTACTTCTTAAATATAATGATCGAGAAATCTTCACATTCTTAAAAACAATAAAGTATATAATCCCCTGTCGCACTAAGTGTCACTCATGATCACCTTCATACTAATTTTTTAAATTGCGAGTGATTAGCTTAGTTTATAAATGACCGGGGATATTCGTTTACTTATTTCCCAGCCTCATACAGATAGTCGGGAGATTATTAATTTTAGTTTAAAATAATTAAGTTTAAAATAGTTAATATTTAATGAGTGACACTCCAGGAGATTACCTATTTATTTCATGGGAAGGGGAATATTAGGGGTTTTTTCCCTTCGGGAAAAAAACTCTATTATTCCCAATTCCCCATGAAATAAATAATACTAATAATTATAGATTTAATTAATATAAATTAAATATTGTAACTCTATTATTTGGCAGTCCGGATAAGAACGGCACTATTTTTATAATTTGATGGTACTTAATAAAATTTATAGGTGTCGTCGAAATGCCGTATTTTATAATTACGGCATTACGGCAAAATGGGAATTTGGCCTTAAAATATAAAGATCGGCATTCAATAATTTAAAAAATAATTGCGGCATAATTGTGGTAGAATGGTACGGTATAAGCTTTATATGCCGTAATCAATTTCTACGACACCTATAATAAAATTACTAATAGTCTGAATCTACTGTGCATAATTAATTTTTTGAGCTTATAGAAAAGTACCTTTTATATTTTAGAAAATTTGTCAAAAAATACTTAGTTGATATATGTACATATACAGTAAAATAAATCAATAATTATATTTTAATATTTACTTACCTATACCTTATAAAAAATTTTTTAGAAAAATGATCACGTGTCTGAGTTTCTTCGGAATAAAAAACTAGAAAGATGATCATTTATCGAAATTTTTTTCCAGAATTTTTTTTATAGGGCGTATACGCAGTTCAGATTCCAAAATGATAAAAAAATCATAATAAATTTGCCCCAGAATTTACTAATACGTTTATATAGCGATAGTGCCGGATTGTCAATTAATTTCATTCGTTGTTATATGAAAGTACCTTTTATATTT